TTTTACAGTTATTAAACACAAGGAAAAAGTCTTATCAAGTCTTGTGTTGAAGTCACCTGCCAGCATAAGATCAAAACTTGGATATTCCTAAGTAAATTGAGAAAATTAGTTCTTTAATTTATCCCAGCATTTGGTAAAAAAAATCAATATACTGGGTTACATAGATATTTATAATTACAATATTGCATTTGGCTAAATTAACCCCAATAGCTAACACCATGTGTCCCTTCTCAGACACAAGCCTATGTAGCACTACAAACAGCATTAAAGAAGTTCACTGAGTAATCATGTAATATTGTATAATATGGGCGCTGGGCCTCCTATACCAAAATAAAATTTTCTTTACAATCTTATGTCCTGGAAATAAGGATCATCCTTCTTTGGCCTTCTAACCAGCAATGTTGCAAGAAATCACGAAGATTTCCTTGGTCTGAGAGTTAGCTCAAGGACAGCTGTCTGTCAAAGGAGATTCTTCTGCCCAAGAGGAATAAAATGGATATGTCAGATCAGCTGTATGGCTAGCTTAGGTGGAGACTGGAGTGATCTTCAGTGGTCATAGAACTTGAGACTCAAAATGTGGTGGAAAAGATCACAGCAGCAGAAAAATTTGCATTTCAATTGGACAAAAGCACTGAAATCACTGGTGAAGCAATTAATTGTCTTTGTGCATGTTCCTGATTATACTGTATCTAATGGATGTCCAGGCCAGTAGGGGTGAAGTTATTGGAGTAGATTAGATGATAAATAGTTCCCATGGAACTATATCCTCAGTGAAATCGGTTTGAGAGCTGTGGCTGGGATCAGTTTGCCCGGAGTTGGGATATGTAGCCAGATGGAGGAAATACCAATTTTTGTTATAATGTTTATTTGGATCTAAAACAGGTTTGGGGGAGGGCATATAAAAGAAAACAAACATATTTCATACCAAAGCAGTAGATTAACTGTGATTCCACAACTAAATCTCTCTCCTGTCTACATGAGGTTTCTATTGAGCTTATGCCACTAGCTGGCATCAATGCAATGGAGAAGACATGAATGAATAATTTGTCTGGACTTGTAAGGACGCTTCTTCTGTCATGCTCTCCTGGAAGTGGAGCTATCAAGAAGTAGGGCTGCAGTCTGAGAGTCGATGTCCACTATAGCCGTCCAGGTGGAACAAAACAATCCAGCCAATATTGGCAGGATTTAAATAGGAAGTCTTCATAGCAAATTGCCTATTCATTCTTACTGTCCCAACACATTATGGAACTTTTTCATTTAGTCAATTTTAATGTCTTGTCTTCCGTAACCCAAGAGGAAAGATATAATGATACCCCTTTTGCAGAGGAACCTGAGACTCTAGCCCACGGGTATGATGACCCGTAGTCTCTCAAAATAACCCAAAACCCAAAACATATATTAAAGTCCGGTAAGGCCTTCAACTTAACTTCACTGTTTTATTAGGCACAGTTTAAAGTCACAAAAGTAAATAATGAGGCAAACAGAAAACCAAAACAAACCGCATTGATGACAGTTCTGAAGCAAGCCGAGATAACTAATCATAAACTCCAGGAAAATAACCGAGAAACGTCCATGGGAAGAATGCCAGCAAAGATAAACCTCTTTCAAGGTAAACACTAACTGACTTCAGCAATTCTTACTACGTAATTGAAAACTTATATACATAGCTCCCACCTGCAAGCCACAAGGAGGATCATGGTAATCTCCTCTTGAGTAGACCTCGCTTTTCCCTGATCCTCTCCTCCCTGCGTGACCTAGGATGGATAGGGGATGGGCCTGGATCCTCCTCTGACTGCTCAGCCGGCCTCTGCCCTTCCCCAGCCTCCTCCACCACCTCTGGAGCCACACTCCCACTCCCTGTTGGCTGATCCTCCTCTTCCTCAGAGTCAGTCTCCACCAGGGGCATGACAACGGGTTCATCCAATATCCTTTCTACAGCAACTTGTGCCCTACCTTCATATTGTTTTTTCCACTTGCTCTTTTCTTTGCCTTTTTATTGTTTACTTAACATTTCCAGGATGGTTGCAACATTTATGCCAGTTGCCATTGTTTTAAGCAAGGAAACATTATCCTACATTCTAAGATTTTATAAATGTATACTTTGTCATATTTTCTATATTGTTTTATGTTTTCTCTGTTACATTTCACTGGTCACAGGCTGCAGTAAAGTTACATAGGCACATATACCATGTCTGGTTGCTGCCAAGTAGCAATGTGGAAATAAAGAAATAAAATGCATATATATCTTCTAGTGTAGTGGTTTTAGTACTTTACTCATAAAGAAGGGCTTTTAAAAATTAATATTTATTAATAGTTTATCAGTACCTGTAGGGTTTTGCAGTTTGATCCGTTTTCTTTCTAATCATCTCAATACCTAAGTCTTGCAATTTTCTTAAAAAGTGTTTATAAAATAAGGTCACCAACCATAATAAAGATACAACTCATACCAATATCTCAACCTCAGCTAATGGGAATTCTGAGCTATCAGAGGCAGAGCATTTTCCACATTTGCAAAGGAAAAAAGGGAGCTTTTGGTAAGAGCAGTAAAGGAGAACTGTGATTGTAACCGAAAATACGAAACATCATTATGGTACATTATATAGCACATTTATGATGGAGTGACACCATACACTGTACCTATGGAAAATCCCTGGTTTCTTTCCCATCACTTCCAGATGAGGTGTGAAACACCTGGATTCAGTAGGCTAGGATGAATAGGAGAATAATAAAATGAAGCGTTCAAAGATATGAAGATATTCTAGCCCAACCTAGGCTCAAGTAATCGGCCTTTGTTTGGGGAGGTCAACAAAGAGCCCACCTCTCTTGATTTGTAGGATATCTCTTATAGCCAGAGCATTTTTCCTAATGTGCATTCAAAATCTACTCCTTGAACTTAAACCCACTGGATTCGCTCTCTGACCTTGTGTGTAAAATAACTTCCCCCGTGCCATAAGCCTTTGTTGTCTGCAATTCGCTCTTTTTATAACATGGAATATTCCTTCTGGGGCAGGAATAATCACAAGTCAAAAAAGAAACGAAATGCAAGGCATCAGTAGCAACAAGGAATCATAGCCGTTGCCAGGCAACGCAGACAGCGATTGGCTGGATGGACCGAAAGTATGGACTCACTTCTTCTCTAAATCCATCTCCCGTGTTCTTTGTCGCTATTGGCATAAAACCAACGCGCTTCTTTTCCTGAAACGATTCAAGGTTTCAGATTTCTCATGTGCTGCATTCGATGCGGGGGGGGGGGGGGGGGGGGGGGGGGGGGATGGGTCCCCCTTAGAAACCCGCGCGTTAGTACCCCCCAGTCTGGGGGGCCCCGGCGAAAGGGGGGGGTTCCCCCCCCCCCCCCCCCCCCCCCCCGTTTCCCTCACTTCTTTGCTAGATAAAATGCAAAAGGAAACACGCAGCGAGCCTGGCCCATAATCGCACGCACGCACGCCCCGATCGCGCAAAGGCAGAAAACATCTTGCCAGCTCCCGCTCGGCTTGGAAGATGATCTGGGCTGGGCAGGGCAATGCTATACGAGCCGGAGTATCTGGGCAACGGGCAAGCGCAAAGCCATTCCGAGGGAAACCGCCGAGGCTACCAAATCCGCGCCGCCCTGCAGCGAGCGCCCTCTCTGGGCTGCAAGAGAACCGCTTTTGTTTGGCTTTGCGCTTCCCAAGGCTTTTCGGCTCCCGCCTTCGCCGTCCGGACGCCGCCGGCAACAGGCTGCTTCGTGGCAAAGAAGAGCCACTATCTCTCTCTCTCTCCTCCCGCCTTTGCTCGCGCAGCCACTTGTGGATTGCGCCGAGCTGCCCCTCGCGGCCAGCCCTTCCCTCTACGGCCCCTCCCAGTCCTGGAGGAGGGGAAAGAGAAGCGAGCGCCCGCGGGAGAGAGAGAGAGAGAGAGAGAGCCCAAGACGCCCGAGCGCACCGCTCCTTCCACTCCCTCTTCGCCCTCCCACAGTTTGAAAAAATGAGACAGCGCCAAGCGGGCTCGGGTTGCTCCCGCTTTCTCGCAAGCGCACCTGACGCCCGACCAGCCCACCCGCCCGTGGCCAGATCGCTGCTCTCCCGCTTAGACCCGATGGTCTCCGACGGGAAGTGGATCCCCCGGTCGGAAGCCTGAACCTCGGCTTACTATCCAAGCCATCCGGACGGAAACAGCCAAAGCCCCGCTCGGAGCCTCCCTGCCCTCTGGCCGCCCTCTGCGACGGCGGAACCGCTCAGCCTCAGAGGCGACCGCCGAGGATGCCCCTCGGTCCATCGGCTTTTCTGACCGGCTCCTCGCCTCGTCCAGGGAAACGGCCCGGGGGCTTTCTGCTGCGCTGACGGGGGGGGTGTGTGTCTTTGTTTTGTGTTGTTCCCACTGTGCCTGGAAGGGAAAGGCGGCGGAGGCGAGGCGAGACCCGGCGAATTGGTTGCGTATTCTCGGGCGGTGCGCGGGAGAAAGAAGCGTGTTTACCCGGGGAGGTCTTCCGAAGTTTCAAATCGTCTTGAAAGTCACGTCGAGCTTCTCTTTTCTACTTTGCCAAGACGGGGCTGTTTACCAACCAGCGGCAGAGGAAAGCAGAGGAGGCGTCTCTTCTCTCCCTACTCCTAGAAGAAATCTCTTATGGTGGCATTTGGTTCTTCGGTTCCTTTTCGTTTGGCCAGGAGCCTGTGCCCTGCATGAATTGCCCGCCCCGCCGCTTCAGGTCTCTGGCCATTTGCTTCCAGCCCGTCCCAGAGGAGATATAACCCTTCTGCTATCTGAGTGGGCCAGACAGGGCCGTTTCCTTCCACGTCGGGGCTCTGCTCCCGGCTCACAGAGGCTCACTTGTTGCAGCGCCTCGCCTGGGGTTTGGGAGGGCTTGAGAAGACTTCCTTTCCTCCCTCCAAAATAACGGGCCCCCGTCGCTCTCCCCCGCCCCCTCAGGGCACAGCTGGTGCAGGGCCTCTCTCTGTTTCTGCCCCCCACCCGCAGCCCCTGCTTCTGGGCCAGAAGGAAGCGGGTTATCAGAAGCACTTCTGGCTCACCTAACCTAATCTATGATCAGCTCCGTGTGTGTCTCCTCCTATCGCGGGCGCAAGTCAGGGAACAAGCCACCCTCCAAAACATGCCTGAAGGAAGAGATGGGCAAAGGAGAAGAGTCCGACAGGATCACGATCAACGTGGGGGGCACCCGGCATGAGACCTACAAGAGCACGTTGCGCACCCTGCCTGGGACCCGCCTGGCCTGGCTGGCAGATCCCGATGCCCAGAGCAATTTTGACTTTGATGGGCAGAGCAATGAGTTTTTCTTTGACCGCCACCCAGGCATTTTCTCTTACGTGTTGAACTACTACCGCACGGGCAAACTACACTGCCCAGCAGACATCTGTGGGCCCCTCTTTGAAGAGGAGCTGACCTACTGGGGCATTGACGAGACTGATGTGGAGCCTTGCTGCTGGATGACTTACCGGCAGCACCGGGATGCGGAGGAAGCCCTGGATATCTTCGAGAGCCCTGAGCCTGGCAGCAGGCTGGCTGGGGAAGAGGCTGAAGACGAAGGGGCCCGGGAGATGACCCTTCAACACCTGGGCATGGAGGATAGGCCTCCTGGGGCCTCCGGAGGAGGAGGAAGTGGCTGTTGCCGGAACTGGCAGCTGAAGATGTGGGCACTTTTTGAGGATCCCTATTCATCAAAGGCGGCCCGGGTGAGTCAGCAAGAGAGGGCAGGGAGACCCCTAGGGTGGATGGGTACGTGGGTAGGTCTGTGCCCCATTTCTAATGCCTACCGGATACAATTGGATGCCCTTCTGATACGTAGGACTACAAGTCCCATCATTCCCAGGCAACATTGCCAGTGATCAGTTTGGGCAAAAGGCACTGTATTTTTAGCGTATCTGATTTGGGGGAGATTGAATTAATCACTTGGGTCTGGGGACATGTCAAACCAAAAAAGCCCTCCCTCCCTCGGTATGTTTCGTGGCAGATTTGCTACTGTAGTTGCTTTAGATTTCAAGCTCTCAAAGTTTTCAGTGTGGTTCTTCAGCTGAGAGTGACCCCTCCTTGCTCTGCTGCTTCTTCTCCTATTTTCCCCTTTATTTGCCATTTTTGATACAGGTAACATGCCTTGCTCTTTTTCATTGTGTATGTGTTTTTAATGTGCATGGTGAAGACCTAGCTGTTTTATATTCCCCAGTTATTTATCAGTACTGCACACAAACACTCTCTGCAGATGAGAACAGAGCTTATATTTAGGGGTCTCTTTGGAGGTTTGGAAAAATCTGCTTACCACCACATCCTTGGAACAGATTTTTTTTCCCTCCCATCAAATCCAACATTTGACAGAGTTTGGAGAAAGCCTAATGGGATTTTTTTTTCCTTTGTATGTTTTATTTTTCTAGCTGCAGGATTGCCAGGTGCTCTGAATTTACTAGTGGTATAAGATGTAGTGTACCTCAGAAGAGGGATAGTACTGGTAGATCCCTTGGTATTAGTTAGACATTTCTAATTCTCCATTATTAAAGAATAATAACAGGAAAATGATTTTTCCATTGAAATTAGGCAGATAAAATACAAGTAAGTTTTGCGAAGTCATGAATGGGCTTTTTGCATAAAAGAACTGTACTCTTCAGTTAAGTTTGGTACAGAAAATTTCCTCCTAAGCTATGAGACATCCAACAGGGATCAAGAAAGATTTCATTTGTCCAAACAATTAAAGTTCTGTTGTGTCTGCATTTTTACAGAACTCCTCATACACTCACGCAATAAACATCAAAGACTTACTTTTGTCCTATGTTTTTCTTTCTGTTGTGCTATGTGATGTTTTCCTATAGTTTTCTCATATCTGAATTCATTTACCCTTAATATTTTCAATAACATGCAAACAAGTCAGCAGTACGTAGCTAGTACAAATTGAGGTCTGATAGAAATCCCTGTATTAGTTTTCTATCAGGATTCTGTCCCCACCCCTCTTTTTTAAAAAAATAAATACTTTATGCTTTTTAATAGAAATGTATCATTTTCATCCCCAATCAAATCCCTATAAATTAGCAATGGACAATGTCCATCTTTGTTCTTTGTTTTTCCTTTTGTTTTAAGTTCATTTTTGTGATACAGGCATACTTTTTACATTCAAGAAACAAATATCAATAGATCTGCTTTCGAACGTGATTGGAAGGGATCTTGGAAGTCTTTTAGTCCAACCCACTTGCTGAAGCAGGAAACTCTATATCATTTCAGGCAAATCTCTTTTTTAAAGCCTCCAGTAATGAATTTCTTAGTCACACGGTATATATACATTCTGCCATACATATTCTGAGCTTTCCATCTTGTGTATATCACTTGGATGAAGAACATAGTAAGATTTAAAAGTGTAAACTCTGAACCTAGTTTTGCTTCCCATAAAGTTCACCTCAAAATGTATATTCCATAGGGAGGGTTAACTGGCAAGTGCCAATAAAATGTATCCAAAATATTTTCTTTCACCTAAATTCAGACAATTCAAGCATTCCTATCCCCCAAAGATTCATTTTAGGTGGAATTTATAACAAAAGTCTCAGTTTTCCACAAGTACGCTTGCCTGAAGCACGTTCTCACAGAACCAATCACACCACTGGCTGGCCTGCCCACTGTGCCCCACTCTGTATATCTTGCCTTCGCCATGCAGCCCAGCTAATCTCCGCGCCTCACCGCCTCTGCTCATCAAAGGTAAGCAGTGCATGCCACTGCCCACTCACCGTTTGCCTTAGCCAAGTTGGGGAACGCACCAATCTCAGGCTCCAGCCTTGCCCCAGGCCTCTGCCTGCACGCCACTGTCCCCCCTCTGGCCTCAAACTATGGCCCTGTGGGCCGAAGCAATTTATTTGGCCTGCGGCCTGTGCTAAGCTGAAGGGCTGTGGAGGAGACAGCATGGGTGCAGGAGGGCCAAAGCGGTTTGGGAATGGACCGGATGGTGGTTCTTATCTTTAAGAAGATCCATCCAGAAAGTGCTGCAATGGCGGTCTTGCAGCCACTTCTTCCGTCCCTTGCCGCTGAGCCTTCGCTTGTGGAGACGCTTCATGTGCTCTTTGGGTCAGCAGCGGCTTCTCTCCACTGCTGCTCTTGCTGGGAGAGCAGACTGCAATTTAGCAGCTGTCAGCTGCCGCTTTGGGTCCTCTAAGTCCCATCCTGAAAGCGCTGCAGCTGAGAGAAACAGCATTCAACATGGCTGCTTCTTCTTCACAGAAGCCGTGCATGGACATATGCGTGGAAGTTGTGCTCAGGCACATGTGCATGCGCTCACATCTTTGGTGAACTGGTGGTTTTGTTTATTTGAAACCCACCACTGGTCTTTGCTGGAGCCACCCAGCTAGAATCATGATGGCTAGAATTGAAAATTTGACAAGAGAAGGCAGAAGGAGGGCAAAATGAGATGAGTTTAAGGAAACTAAAGCTATTTTAATTAATTGAGAGGCTAGTAATAAATTTTTATAGCAATTGAAACTGAGTATTTCTCCTAAAGATACTTATAAGGTCCCATTTTCAACCTTATAAAGAGCACGATAGGCAACTTTTGCCCACCTTGTTTCACATCATTGTTATGCCTAGAAGTGAGGGGGCCATTTACAACACCTTTTTGAGGGATTGAAACGCTTCAGCAAAGCAACCTTTTTAAACTTTGCTCAACCCTTAAATCAACCCTAACATTCCAAATTGATCACTGTAATACTACACTGTACTGGAGCTAAATAGGCAGGCTATCCTCAAGCCCCCATTGGTTCAGAAGGGGACAACTAAATTATTGAGTTTATAGGACCAATTTACACCAGAATTCTTCGGCTAAGCAGGACTGGCCATTTTACCCTCCTCTGATTGTTTGCTATGTCTCCTCTTATAAACAAAGATGGCTTAAAAATCACAGTTCTATCCAGTGTTTGTTTACAGTACTCTCTGGCTCTGGCTTGTTCATTTGGCTTTTGGTAGCTTGTTTTGACAGGAGAAAACCGAAGTCCATGGACTAGGCAGCATGCCAAATTGCAGATGAATAGAATTGTCCAAAGCGTGTTAGTTGTACGACTTCAGGAGGAACAAGTGGTTTATAGCTCATTTTGAAAAAAATCTGGTTTAGTGTGTCACATAAATATAATGGGTAGTTTGTTTCCAGATTCAAGAATTGATTTATAAATACTATTTGTTTTGAGGTCAGGGAAGGAAAAAAAATAGACTTCTAATATGCCTTCATCTCATATCAAGTTATTTTCTTCTCACTGAAAGGGGAAGAATCCCTTGGAAATGATCACAGAGAAGTCACAATGCTGAGGAAGGCCATTTTTGCCACTATTTCTAATACATATTTTACTAATACAAAAACACAAGTTTTGCCAAAATTCTGTTTAGTTTTGGGCTGCTGATTTTAAATTAATTTTAAATTAAAAAATAATTTTATGGAAGCATGCTGTTACCTTAGCAGAATTATTTTGATCTGTCCTTTTATATAAGTGTATTTACTACAGGAGAGAGAGAGAGAGAGAGAGAGAGAGAGAGAGAGAGAAATCTGTTTCAGTGTATCACATAAGTATAATTTGTTTCTAAATTTAAGAATTGAGCTTAAGAATGCTCAATTAAGAATGAGTTGTTTTATGGTTATTTTTAATAGGCTTTTTTGTGGGAGCTTGGAGGAAAAAATAACTGGCATTTTTTTCTGCACTTGTACCTTCAGACTACCATGCCCATCCAGAAAACATATATTAATATGCTTATATTATATTAATATCCTTTTGAGTTGATTTTCATAATATGCCACTCTAATGGTTATAGGTTAACCAATGTCATAGAGGAGAATTGAAAACCTCTTGGCTTTTGCAACATGTTGGTTGGTTACTAATTCAGTCAGAGTGTTTGGTAGACTGGATTTTCAGTGGGCTGATGAAAATGGTGCATATTTGTGTGCGTGTTCTTGTTTTACATTTGTCCCAGTTACGCAGGTTTTGAAATATCCTGCATTTTGAGGAGCTGCAGCCAAGAATTTTTCTTTAGAAAACAGGCTGGAAATGCTATCAAAGGGGTATCATTGAGTAGGTTCAATGTCAAATGACCCTTACGCAAAGTAAATCCAAATGTGTGGTTTTTTTTGAAGTGTGTTTAAGTATTATTCTCTTAAACAGCGCAATGGATCTGGATCCTGTGTTTAATGATGTTTTAAAATCAGATTAGATACAGAGTTTGCATTTGATTGTTCTGTTACATAATCACTGGTTGCATACTTGGAAATGGGACTTAGTTACCATAAGACATAGGTTATGATACCATGTAAGAGATCATTGTGGGGAGAAGATAGAAAACAATGACTCTGTATAATAATACAAATTGGTAATTATTCCCATAACATAGAATAAAACAGTTCTGTTCAATAGTTACCAGTATTTCCCTTTAGAAATTCTTCATTTTCAAAACTTGTTTGATATGTGATGTGGGTGATTCTTGATCAGAGAAGGCAAACTGCAGCTCCCTTGGGTATTTAACTAGTTTTACTCTATGTCCAAAAATAATATACTTGTCCATATACAGAAAAAAGTAAAATGAAAATACATTAATAATAAATGATAAACGATCATATTTTACAAGTGATATATCATTCTATCAAAAAAACCCCATGTTGATGTTTGATTATGAAAGACTTTTAGTTTATTATTGTAAGTAACATGAACATTCCAATTAGTAGCAAATCAATAAACTATTAGAGCTAGCAAATAGTCTCCTGGATTAACAAATAAGTAACATGATTTTAAATAATAGTCTCCTTATTCTTTCGAATCGTCAGAGCTTTTCTGCCACTGTTTATGAAATAAAGCAGAGAAGTAGCTATCTTGCATATTCATATAACTGTTAATTCCTCCCTTTGTTGGCAAACTAATCTGCAGAGGAAAATGAACATAAATGAGGCTGGAGCTCAAGCAAATGTAATCAGTCGCAGCTGGGCAATTGAATTTCTCTGTTTATTGTTAGTATCAGGGAAAGGTGTTAGATTAACCTTTGGGATGGAAGGTAAAGCCAAATCTGCCAATAAATTCTACTCCTGTCTGTGAGATGACAAATTTCATGCTGCCAAAGAATTGAACTGAATTAAGAGAAGCTGAATTTCATTTGTTCAGTTTGTGTCTAACACCTGGGTACAAATATATTTATTATTATTCCTATTACAGTTGTACAGTTTAGTGAGCCTAACATAAAAATAAAATATATAGAATTAGAACATGACTCGTTTGTTTTTTGTATCTTATGATTTATGATTGTAACTGATTTATGATCTATGACTTATCACTTTGTTGTTTGTATGTACACTGAGAGCTTATGCACCAGAGACAAATACCAGAACCTTGTGTATCTGATCACACTTGCCAATAAAGAATGTTCCATGAATAGTGCTAATAGATGGGTAGATTGAAATCTGGGTCTTCAATTTTGATGGTCTACAATGGATCATAGGAAATAAAAGTTTTAAAACTTGTAATCTTGTTTTTTTGGGTTGCTTTTCTTCTCCCATAGTTTTTTTTAACCTTTGAGTATATGTTTTCCCTTCTTTTTCAGATCATTGCCTTTGCTTCCCTTTTTTTTATCCTGGTATCCATCACAACTTTTTGTCTGGAGACCCATGAAGCCTTCATCATAGATACCAATGTGACTGAGACCCTAGTAGTGGGCAACACGACGAAGATTGTTGTGATGAAAAAGATGGAGACAGAGCCAGTTCTCACCTGTATTGAAGGAATTTGTGTGCTCTGGTTTACTCTGGAGTTTCTGGTGCGCATTGTTTGCTGCCCAGATAAATTGATCTTCATTAAGAACCTTCTTAACATCATTGACTTTGTAGCCATTCTACCCTTCTACTTAGAGGTGGGACTCAGTGGCCTGTCATCCAAGGCTGCACGAGATGTGCTGGGCTTCCTGAGGGTAGTTCGTTTTGTCAGAATCCTCCGGATCTTCAAGCTGACTCGCCATTTTGTGGGACTTCGGGTATTGGGCCATACACTCAGGGCCAGTACCAATGAATTCCTCCTTCTTATCATCTTCCTGGCTCTCGGAGTTTTGATTTTTGCTACCATGATCTATTATGCTGAAAGGATTGGTGCCATGCCATCTGATCCTAGTGGTAGTGACCATACCCACTTTAAGAATATTCCCATTGGATTTTGGTGGGCAGTGGTAACCATGACAACTTTGGGTTATGGAGACATGTATCCCCAAACTTGGTCAGGTATGTTGGTGGGAGCTCTCTGTGCCCTAGCAGGTGTTCTTACCATTGCTATGCCTGTTCCAGTCATTGTCAACAACTTTGGAATGTATTACTCTTTGGCCATGGTGAAGCAAAAGCTCCCAAAGAAGAAAAAGAAGCACATACCCCATCCAGTGCCACTTGACTCTCCAACATTCTGCAAATCAGAGGATAACTCACCTCACAACAGTATTCAGAGTTACAACAGTCCTCTAGCGGCAGCAACAGCAGCTGGGGTGATGGAGAGGAAAAGATCAGGTGAGATGTAAGATTTTCGGCTAAACAAAACTCATAAATAGTAGTGGTAGGAAGATTCTGGACATACATTTATGGATGTGTAAAGCAGTGGCTCTAGAAGAAATATATGTTATGTAAGATTATAGTGTAGAGCAAGGGTCATCAAACTTGGGAAGTTTAACACTTGTGAACTTCAACTCTCAGAATTCCTCAGCTAACATGACTGGAGGAGGAATTCTGAGAGTTGAAGTCCACAAGTCTTAAAGCTGTCAAGTTTGAAGACCCCTGGTGTAGAGTTATCATCTGGATGAAGGTATGTTGTTTGAGGTGAGCATAGAAAAATCTTCTTTTAATTATTAATCTTATTGTATTTATAATGGTGTCCACAGGGAGGGAATTAGAAAAGTGGGTTCACTGGGCCAGACTGAGTTTTGCCCAGTTTAGAAGAAGATAAATAAATACCAGTCTTTCTAAAAGGATAATATCCCATCCTACTTTGAACAACAGTTTGCATCCTACTATCATAAACGTCACACAATGGCATATATAAGGTTTCCAGAGTCCAGAATTGCTCAATATCAACAGAATTGATGTATTTTGCACCTCAGAACATGATTTGGCTTCTTTCAAGTTACCATTTGGCATCAATGGTTTTCTTAAGTTCTTTGGTTCAAAAAGAATTAAGTTTTAAAAAATGTGACAGTTATTGAGGAAGACTATATTTAAGGAAACTAAAGTTATTTTAATTAATTGACAGTCTAGTAATAACTAATCATAGCAATTGGAAACTAAGCATTTCTCCTCCTAAAGGTACCTATAAGGTCCCATTTTGAACCTTATATAGAACATGATAGCCAACTTTTGCCCACCCTAAATTTTGGACAATAGCACCTGTAATTTCCAGATGTTCAGTATTCTGCCTAGAAAGCATCAAGTTATTTTCCAAAATTTCCAGGGAATCGTGGTTGTCATTCATTGTACTGCACAAAGGATTTTTAAATTTCATGTCAGTTTTTTTTCTTTTTGTTTAAATTAAAATACCTTGTGATCCAAATCTTAGTATGGTGGAAAGATGGCTATGGATGATCACTATGTGCCACAAAGAGATACAGACAATTTTTCAATGGCTTGGGGGTTACTTTTGACATTTTTGGGCAGACTCAGGGGCTATAGTTTGTAGGGCTGAAATACATGAACAGGGCCAGAACACTCTGGATGTTTCTAGCTGTGGGAGAAGCTATGGGGATGTAAACATTTTCTTTATTTTTTAAACCATGGCTGTATTTTGGCGAATATATGTGTCCCAGGATAATGTTGCAGGATCCAATCTGGGTTGGTCACTGAGACCAGAGGTCTAGTCTTCCGAGCTTTCAGACTTGTACTGGAGCCCATCCTCAGGGAACGTCTGATGCAGATTGGATCCTGCAATGTATTTTGGATGTAATGTTATAATTTTCATATATTTCTAACCTCCAAATGGCAAGAAAACTCTACTGATTGTCTGACACTGCAGTATTGAAATGTAATCCTGTAATTGGAAGAAGCACCAGGACACAGAAAAGAGGCTCAAGAGTGTGTTAGGAGTCTTTCATTCACCGGTTATCCTTCATATTAAGCTAATCTCTCACGCGTGCTGTTTGTCCCTTAAAAAGGAAACCCCTACCAGGGAGGCCATTGCTTTTATTAAGAGGGAAGAGTTCAGCAGGAAAACCCTAGGTATAGGAGAAAGAGGTTGAAAACTTATGCCGTGCTCCTGATATTGCTGTGCCAACCTTAAAAACAAGAGAATCCCTCTTAATGGGATCCAAAGATGTGTTTAGCATTTTATGAAGCTTTTGTAAAAGCTGACGCTTGAGCTTAAAAGTGTCAAAGAAAATGCACAGTCTCTAACTGCCTATTTCCTCTAATATGTAAAGTCACACTCTTTGCAATCTAAAGTTACATTTAAGTGATCTGTCATGACTGCTCTGTTTGAATGATCTCCATTCTTCTTAAGCATTGATTAACCATCTGACCTTTACTACAGCAATAAGTCTCTGAGGATTGTCTTTGGAATCCCAAAATCAGTCAGGCAACCCATAATGGTTTGTTCTCTGGAGTGTGCAGTTAAGAGCCTTCCAGTAAGTGACTCCGGAATGCATTTAACGGGATGTGGTTAGTATGTACATAGTTGCATATCTCAAACTCAGGAATCAGAGCAGCCCAGAGCAGCATTTTGGTATCTGAAGCAGAAGAGGAAATGACTCCTCTGTTTCTCATATCTAATCCAAAAGCTGCTCTTTTGAGGCAATACAGAAAACCCCATGCTTCTCTTTTTCTCTAATTAAAACTATAATTATTAATAATGAAGTAACATTGAGTTCATATGTTTCACAAGCCATATTCACTTGATGTACTTGCTTACTCATCCCACTAAACCTTATAGTAGTCATGTGTGCTGGGTTTGTGCAACATTTGAATACTTGGCTCTTTTCTGGTCCAGGATGTATGGTCGTAGGCATTATTTTGGTTTTGTCTTTGTATTGTCTTAATCTAGTCATTATGACTCCTGAACCACACCACCATGGCTTGTTCTATTTGCCATAGTGAAAACAAACTTATGTTTTAGTAGGATAGTAGATATAGGCTATGATATATATGCTGAAAATAATAGGGTCTCATTTTAAAGAACTCAGTATTAACTGGTGGAGTTGGGGAAAGAGAGTTAATGGAGGAAAGCATTTGTAATCTTTAGGACCTTTAAGGCTTCTTTGCTACTTTATACTTTTATACTTTTACCTATTATCTTGTAAGGGATTGACAAATCAAATAAATAAATTAATTAACCTGTTAGACTGCTTGCATCTAAGGGCAGAAGGATTAGAAAGTAAGACCAAACTGTACATTTTTAATACTAGTATATACTGGTTTGCAAGAGATGTACTGATTTGCAATAGGGAACAGCAAGGAGCTGAGACTGAAAACTACAGCTCTGCTTCAACATGCTAGAGTCTGGACAGAGAAGTAGCAACATTTCTCCCTGAGGAATTTCTGAGGGAAACCTGAGGGAGCCTCTCTGTCATCACCAATTGTGTATAGGTGTTGATGGCATGTAGCAGCAGCTTAGCAGAATTGTGAAGAAGGAGAATGATTCTCTGGCCTGGGAGATGAGATGGGTTAGGATGGCTGCAGCCCTTCAAGCGATCCAATGAACAGCAGTTAGCACAACAGAGTATCAATAGTGGGCTCAGGCCTAGGTCTCCATCTGCCACTTTGTCCTCACCTGCAGAGGTTGCTTCCTTGTGTGCCTCATCATAGGGTCAGGCCTGAAAGGAGTTGGCTTGAATGATTTTTCTCTATATTTCAATAACAAACAAATTTCAAACTTAAAAAAAAAATCTCAGCTCTAAAAAGCACTTTGTTTTTCCCTAGTGCAACTCATGTAACAGAAAGCAAATATTTTCCTTATTTTAAGACTTCAGCTTCTTCAGTTTGTAATTGAAAACCAGTGAAATAATTTCAGCAATTGGATTAACAGACTGTGCTACATTGCTGGGTAAACATGGTGACTAAGCCATAGGTCTGATTCAAAAGTCACATTTAATCATTGTTTACTGAATAAGCCCCAGTTAGCTAGATTTATACTGCACTAAGCTACAAGCCATAATTTATCACTCACAAGGGCTGGTTTCACACAGCACATAAGTGAAAACCAAATAAGTCACATTTGGGCTTAGTTCCAGTTGTGTACTTGGTCTATAACATCTTTCCCCCCATCTATTGCCTTTCTAGTATGTTGGAACAATAAACCTGATTTAGTGTTTTGCACAAATCATAGGCAGATTGTATCTCTCGTCCCTTGAAAGAAGTTGGATTCCAAATCCTGTGAAATCTTTCCTCATCTTATGGATTGGCAGATTTGTTGGGATTAATGCAGTCTGGGATTTCAATACATTTAATATACTACTGTGTTTCCCCCAAAATAAGACCTAACTGGAAAATAAGGCCTAGCATGATTTTTCAGGATGCTTGTAATGTAATCCTTACCCCCCAAATAAGCCCCAGTTAAGATTGTCAGCCAGACAGGTGCATTTAGTACCTTATTTCCCTGAAAATAAGACTTAGCCGGAAAATAAACTCTAATCCGTCCTTTGGAGCAAAAATTAATATAAGACCTGGTCTTATTTTTTCGGAAAACATGGTAGGCTGAGGAAGGCTGCTCTATTACTAATAAGTTAAGGGAACCAGATGTGGTACAACTTTCACCAGTTGCAAAGACAGCTTCTGTATGAATCTCCCAACAAGAAAATCAGGAAGTCTGAGACATGAGGTATGAGCAAGTCATTTGTATCATTTTTTTCAGTCTGAGATAAGGAATATTTATGAGATGTAAAGATTTGGCCTAGAACACAGGTGTCAAACTCATGACCTCATGTGACAATCATGACATCATGTGACGATCATTTTTCCCTTCTGGAGCTGGGGTGGGCGTGGCCAGTGCATGACACATCTGGCCCATGGGCTACCAGTTTGAGACCCCTGGCCTAGCACAACCTTATCAGTATTATAGTGTTAATATTTACTATATTCTAAGTTATATCTGGCTATACATTCATTATGAACAGAATGCTGTTTCTAGAAAACTTCAGTTTCTGTGGAAACCATACTGCAGTCACCATAGCATTAATGCACGGTATATTTTCCACGGTATATGTGGAAACTATACTCAAGTCATCGTAGCATTAATGCACAGTAATATGACAGCTTATTTTCTGTAAGGTATTTCTCTTTAAATATAGTATGTAGGACTGATGTTTTGACCAGTGATGGGATTCAAAATTTTTTTACTACTGGTTCTGTAGGCATGGCTTGGTGCAGGGGTTGCCAACCTTTTGGACCTCAAGGACCACCAAACTCATAATTTTAGATCCTAGGGACCACTAACCGGTTCTGTGGGTGTGGCCTAATTTGTGGGTGTGACAGGCTGGGCATGGCTTGTATGTAAATATTATAAATATTAATAAAAATATTGATTTTTTTATTAAAAAAGAGCAACTTTTACCCAAAATCAGGCAGAGCAGGCAGATTGAGTTGCTCACAGAATCATTCAGTGATCTATCTATCTGCCATCGGCTAGCTCAGTCTCTCAAATTTGTTTGCTATGAGTCTGCACTGAATTCACTTGCAAGCAAACCTTCAGTCCTAAGGGAGGTTCAGCTGTGCTTAAAATCAGAGCCGAAGATCTAAATACTAGCTTGAAAGCAAGAAATCCAACCATTTTCTGCTTCCTAGCTAATCTAAATCTCCCAGCACAGCAGAACAGATGATAGTCAGAAAAAGGAAAAATAGCAATTTAGCAGGCAAGTTTGCCAGGTAAGGAGTGAGTGGGTGGGGAGGGTTCCCGCAGGCCATGTGGGCGGCGCAGCCTTGTATTTCTGCACAGCCTGGATTAATTGCTCTGGGGGTAAGATTTCTCTGTGGCCCACCAAAATTTTCTCACGGCCAACCAGTGGCCACGGTCCACTGGTTGGTGACCACTGGCTTGGTGAGTATGGCAGGAGAAGGATACTGTAAAATTTTCATTCCCTCCCCACTCCTGGGGGAAGGTTACTGCAAAATCCCATTCTCTTCCTACCCCACTAACCTGCTTTCCAGCTCTGTTCTCCTGTGCAGGGCAACAAAAGAAGACCCAGCCAATCAGCTGGGATTCAGGAGGCAGAGAATAGTTGGGGGCAGGGCCAGTCAGAGGTGGTATTTTCCAGTTCTCTGAACTACTCAAAATTTCCGCTACCGGTTCTCCAGAACTGGTCAGAACCTGCTGAATACCACCTCTGGTTTTGACACTTTCCCCCCCTCAACATTGGTGGATTCACCAACAAATATTGCTGAAAGGACTGAATCCAAAATTTCAGTCAAGAAGATGAGAAATTGATTCCAATATACTTTGGAAATGTCACTTAAAATGAAAATGCTGCCTCCCCTGGATTATGTCATATAATCTTTTATATCTAAATAAATTATTCATTTTCCTGTTGGCAAAGCAGGTGCAGATTTGGCATATTCTGGCTCCAAAAGTTGACCTTTCTTTCTTTCTTTCTTTCTTTCTTTCTTTCTTTCTTTCTTTCTT